TCCCTCCACTGGCTTCCATCTCCTTCTCCTCTCTCCCAGTCCCTCCACTGGCTTCCATCTCACACCCCTCTCTCTGACCATTCCTTCCACTAGCTTCTATCTTAACGCCTCTTTACCAATCCCTCCACTGGCTTTTATCCCCCACCCCTCTCTGCCAAGCCCTCCACTTGCTTTCATCCCCTTACCCCTATCTAATGATACCTCCATTGGCTTCCATCCCCCTCCCCTCTCTGCCAATCCCTCCACTGGCTACCGCTCACCTAATCAAAAAAAATACTAACAACAACATACAAAGCCATCCACAACTCTGCTCCGAGCTACATCACCAACCCTGTCTCAAAATGCCACCCAAACCGTCCTCTCTTCTCCTCCCAAGATCTCTGACATTCTAACTCCCTCATCACCTCCTACCATGCCCACCTTCGGAAATTCTCTGGAGTCTCCCTCATCCTCTGGAACTCCTGACCCCAATCTGTCTGGCTATCTCCTACTCTGTTCCCCTTTAAGTGATCCCTGAAAACGAATCTCTTCAAGGAAGTCTATCCCGCCCACCTCTACCCAACAACTGAACTTTAATCCATCAATGTATCCCTCACAGTCATTACCTTTGGTATCACCTGCCCCTCCCTTTTAGATTTGCAAGCTCTCATTATCAGGGTTCTTCTAACTCTTGTCTTGAATTGTACTGTCACCGAACTGTCTCCAATTATTTTGTAAAACGCTGCACAAACTGGCACTAAATAAATCCTGCGTTATGATAATAATGATATTAAGGGGTGCACCTATTCAATTAGGAGATACTTGCACTTTGGTAATGAATGTCATAGAGACTATTGTAGTGTGTTCCGGATAAATTGGCCATACATCATTTTCTGAATTATTGTGCAGCAAAATGGCATAGAATTGAATGGTAGCTTTTGTCAACTGGAGAACAGAAACGCTCGCTTTCATTTTAAAACCAGTGGGAATCACAAAAATGGAGCCGCATGTAGCCCCGAAAAAACTCAGTTTTACATTCCTGGTCCATACAGTTGACGTGAAGGTTATTGAAAGAACAGCTGGAGGAAAACTGCGACCGCAATAAAATGGAATCACAATGGCAAATAACTATGGCAATCTCAGCGATCCGATTTTGTCTCCCCATTTGATTGGGAGTATTTTTGATTCCATTTCCTTGCAGTCCTATAAAACCATTTGATGGATTCTATTACTTTGCGATAATGAAAAAAAAAAAATCGATCCAAATGTCTGATCACTTTATCAAATTATCACATGCATGGCCAGCATTAAGCTGGCCATACACCTTACAACCATCGCACGACTTTCGTTGTGCGATGGTTGTAAGGTCATTAAAATTTCGTACAACCTGCCCATCTTGGACAGGCAAATCGTACTTGCAATCATCGCAAGCCCTCCCCGCTGAGGGGAGGGCTTGCCCATGATTGTAATGCTGAGCAGGCAGTGTGCGCTTGCACACACTGGCCCGTGCGGCTTTCGTGTACACAGCACGCTACCAACCCGCCGACAATCGTGCGATTTTCGGCGGGTTTTCCAGCGTGCTAAGAAGACGAAAGTCGTGCGACCGTAAAGTAGATGCGGTCGCACGCTGCCCATACACCTGCGATTATCATACGATCGCGGGAGGTGTATGGGCACCTTTAGAGTTATCCCTACCAAAAAACATGACATTATACATAAATATATATATTAGGGCTGTGCAAACTAACGATTAATTTCTCGATTAATCGTTAATCTTTTTGATCGATTAAAATTTTTTTGAAACTTTCTGCACGAGCGCCAGCCAAATTCTTGTACATTCTGATCCTCCAATCTTTTACAGAATTAATCAGCTGGAAACACAACACAAAGACTACTATATTCAGCACCAGAATTGTACATGGACTGAACTGGTAACATTGTATCAATTAGTTTTTCATTTTTACATAGTATGTTTACACTGAATTCCTCCTCTCTAGCTCTGGCACGCATTTGTGTATTGCTATGGCAAGGCTGTTCCCAGGCATTAAGAAGGCAATACTGCCCCCTGTCGAATGCCTGTTTTTTGGGGGTTTTGTTTGATCCCAAAGGGAATTTTGCATTATCACAAGTGTGTGCCAAGCAGTTGCAGCGCATGCCCATTGACTTCAGAGGACACGTTTGCCAACTGGTGCCACCTGCCTAACGTGACAGGCTGTGTAAAGTTTGCTGCAAAGCACCTCCACATACCAAAACAGCTGCCATGTTAGGATTTAGGTGGGTGGTAAAAACGCATATCAAACGCCTTTTTTTTACCGCTCCTTTGGCGTACATGAGGCCTAAAGCTGGCCATACACTGCTCTATTTTTTTCATTGAAGAAAAAAAAAAAAGAGCAGATTCCCCCATTAATGCTACGAGTGTCTTTACCTAGGAATCCCCGCTGTTTCTTTTGTATTCCGACAGTGGCTGCTAGCGGTGGCATATACATGCGAACGTGAACACGTGTTCGCGCGTGTTTTTGCCCCTGTTGTTGCACGTCAGCCCATTCATTCAATGGGCTGCCGCACATGCAACAATCGCAGAAAAGTAGCTCATGAATCATTTTCAGGTCCATGTTTTTGTCCCGCGCGTTTGTGTGCATTTCACTGGTCACATTTTGGGTGCCATTAACAAGTAATGGCATTGCAAGCGCATTGCATATTGGTGAACGTGTTCCAAAGCGCACGTTTTGTGAATGGTGTGAATGGGGACTTAGTGGTGAGCCAACTGGCCTATGGCCTATGTTCAGTTCACTTGGAGGTTCACCAGACGCAGCCAGAAATCTGAGTGAATGTACAAATGAACTGAACTCAGGGCTGCCTGTGTCCTTGCAACCAATGAGAGACCCACACAGTATCATTGGTTGCTAGGACACTAGTGACTGGGCCACACAGTGCCATTGGTTGCTAGGACACAGGAAGTACCCCTTAACAACCAAGGATGCTGTGGGGCCACCAACACCTTCAGAACTAATGACACCGTGTGACACACACAGCATCATTGGTTGCTAAGACACTGGTGATCTCATAGCATCAAAGGTTGTTTTGGTGCACCTGCCTCTGTCCTGGCAACCAGTGACATTGTGTGGCTCAGCCGCCAGTCGAGCAATGATGCTGTGTGGGCCACACGGCGTCATTGATTGTTAGGACACAGTCGGCGGTTTAGTGAGCAAGCAAACTGGCCAAATCATTCGCCCATTTGACAAACTGAGAACAGTTTGGGTTTGGGTCAAAGTCATGGTTGATTAGAACCCTGAAGTTATTTCCCAATGTCTGTTCCTTTTTGTTCTGGTGACAACCACCCTTCTTCCCTATACAGATATCAAAGAGACAGGAGTTAAAACCTGTCAGAAGAAGTGTTAACTTATTAAATTAGGCTTTAAGAACTAGTTGCTTCTTTAGAATATTCACAATTCCCCCAAATATTTGATGAAAGATCCCCAAACACCCTACAAGGTTCCATTCTGTTACCATGTTCCGGGGTTCCTCTTAGATGTATTCCTGAGGAGCAGTCACAGAATCCTTGACTGTCTAACTGTAACAGGAAGTCTCTTCCAAAGGCTTGGCCAGAACCCAAAGATTTGACCAGAGTGTCTTTCAGGTCCAGTGTCACAAGCTCCCTGAGGTTCTGTACATCAACAGTCCTTAGACCATTATGGCTCAGAATCAACGTCTGGAGTTTCGTTAGACCCTGCAAGGCGTCAGGATGGAGTTCGGAGATTCCACAGTAGCTTACATCCAAGGTCTGGAGATGGGGTAAGTTCTTGAAGGCCCCTGCAGGAAGGACGTGCAATGGATTGTTGGAGAGATTGAGGTATAGGAGCTCTGAGAGTCTTTCAGGCAGGGGTTGGGAAAGATGGATGGAGTTATCAGACAGGTCCAGGTGCCGGAGATTTCCAGGAAGTGTAAGAGGGATGTCAGCGAGGCCTTTATGACGGCAATCCACATTCACCTGAACAAACAGCAAGCAAGACAGGATTACACTCTTTACTCAGCTCTCATGCTGGCCACAAGACTCAACAATTGTCTAAAAAATTTCAACCACTTTCCATAGCTTTTAAAGGGACTACGTCACAAGAGAGTAATGGGGGCTGCCATTGCTGAGCTGATGCTATCTGAGAATGCCAGCTCCTTGGCTGTCATGTGGTTGTTTTTGGCTTCCCTGAGCCGTAATAAGTACAGAGATGCGGGATTGTGACACTTTTCTGACACTCATTACAGCAAGCTTGCTCCAGGTCTGCAACTCAAAGTCAGACAAAGCCACATTTTTAAATGGAGCCCAGCAATGGCAGCCTCTCAGAGGGTAATTTCTACCTATGGATCGTGCCAACCTATGACCATCACTTTAGGTGATTTCACTGCATTGTAGGCAGCTTTCATCCATTTCAATTGTTTCTAATATAAAGTTGGTAGAAAATGTTTAAATGTTGCCTGAATCATGCCATGTATGTGTCCAGTATAAATCCACATTATTTAACATTGGCTAGGTCTGATATGTGACTGGAGCAAAGATCAGTGCAGGGAATGGGGAGCACTATACGGGAGGGTTGGCAGTGTATTTATTGCCAGACATGTTAATTAAACACAAATTATGTCAATAAAATGCGTACAGGTATTGGCTCTGATTGGACCCCTCACACTAAGGCACCAAACCACTAGTAAAGAGGTTTTATATTGTTTGCTTTATGTCAAATTAAAAATGTCCCGACCTAATTCTCATATCCTGCAAATGACGAGCAGACAGTTAAAGCTCCATTGGTCACAGTTTATGTGTTTAAACATTTGCCAGAAAATCTTCTCTGTTCTTCTTTTCACAGAAACATTTACTTCTGAAATGACCTCCTGCCCTTCCCCCAGAGGAGCAACCTTAGACGTACAGTATAAATATTGCAATGGATAGGATTGCCACTCCTAGAGATTGAGGGACAGTCTAGGGGAGATGAAGAACTGCGGTGTGCATTCCGGCGGCCTGTGTATCTGGAATGGTAGGTTGGGATGGTTGGGATGGGCTGGTGCCCATCCTGGGGTTTAAGGGATGTCCGCAGCTCTTTGGTTATTATTATGTGGCCCTCAAGCCCCAGCAGTCAGGAGTGAGAGCTTTGATTTGTCACAGGCCTGTAATGGCCATGATTATGGATGAGCAAAACTTGAGAAATTGGATGAGAAATCAGGATGTCTTATAGAAATGTTCCCATGCAAATGAAATTCATGGATGTGAATGAAGAAGTACAATGAAAGGGGTTTCTGGTGGCTTTTAAGGGTGCGCTTGGCTTTAAGTGGCTCCTGAGGGTTACAGAAGCTCCTAATAACTAACCTGGACCGGATATTGTGCCAAAAAATGACCCCTCTTTTGCTGAAACATGATGTAAGATATTGAGTAACAGGAACCCCAACACTCACCCTAACTCTAACCCTAACCCTTTGTTTATAACCAGTCATGTGATCGTCATGTCAGCGCTCATCACATGGTTTTGTTGGATATTAAAGCCTTCTGATTTTTTTTTTCTCCAAGAAAACTTTTCCTTATCTGTCCACATGGTGAACTTTTCTCTTTTCTTTGGGAAAAAAGGAAAACAGTCCCTGACCTGATGTAGAAGGTTTGTAAGTTGATGGAAGTATTAGGAACAACCATCTCTGAGGCTCTGAAGTATTCATAAGTGAAGAGTTAAAGTGTCAGCTATTAAATAAAATAGTTCAGTTATAAATGGAGATCGTTGGGTGAATCATCTGCTTGCTTCTGGTATCTGTTGAGGACTCAGCAACGGGACCTCCCTGGCTTTGTTCTACCCAATTGTTGACCAAGGAGCTTATCTATTAGGTTTATTGAATACAGAGATGTAAACTGTCCTGGATTTCCTGGGATAATCCCGCCGTGTGGTCCTCTGTCCCACCTATGCTGAGTCCTGGGCCATGTCCCGGGATCACAACATCAACCCTACCTGAGTTACTGCCTCAAAAAGACATTAATTGCAGGGTGTGGGAGCAGAAGTGGATGGTTCTGCATATTTAGAAGCGGGGTCTGGGATGGACCATGCCGTAAAGTCGGCATGATTTGGGCACATCCACCTGGAAAGTGGACGGATGGAATGTGAACCGTGGGCGGTGTTAACAACATCCTGGGATCCGGGACCATAATGTGAATACTGTCCCAATGCCAGCCAGTGGTGGTTCTCAGTAAGGAGGAGTACTTACCTGGCTGGTCAGGGTGCAGGGGTGAGCGGAGGCGATGGGGAAGAGCAGCGCGGTGTACAGGAGGAGCATCATGATGAATGAACCTGTCAGAAGGAAACAAAGACACAGAGATACAAAGTAACAATCACAGACACAGTGCAGGATCCTCATCTACAATAGGTTGTATGGAACAATAAGATTATTATTATATATTATAATAAATGTTTTTCTTTACTAATTCCAAAAGACGGTTTCTGCAGAAGACTCATACAGAGAATTACATTTTGTGTGACTTTTAAATGAACGTTCAATTTAATATTATATCGGCTGTTTCCTTTACAGGTAGAGAGGCAGAAACAGTCATTACATCAGAGTCTCCAGAATTCCCCCTTTACATCAGAGCCTCCAGAATACTCCCCTTACATCAGAGTCTCCTCCTTACATCAGAGTCTCCTCCTTACATCAGAGTCTCCTCCTTACATCAGAGTCTCCTCCTTACATCAGAGTCTCCTCCTTACATCAGAGTCTCCTCCTTACATCAGAGTCTCCTCCTTACATCAGAGTCTCCTCCTTACATCAGAGTCTCCTCCTTACATCAGAGTCTCCTCCTTACATCAGAGTCTCCTCCTTACATCAGAGTCTCCTCCTTACATCAGAGTCTCCTCCTTACATCAGAGTCTCCTCCTTACATCAGAGTCTCCTCCTTACATCAGAGTCTCCTCCTTACATCAGAGTCTCCTCCTTACATCAGAGTCTCCTCCTTACATCAGAGTCTCCTCCTTACATCAGAGTCTCCTCCTTACATCAGAGTCTCCTCCTTACATCAGAGTCTCCTCCTTACATCAGAGTCTCCTCCTTACATCAGAGTCTCCTCCTTACATCAGAGTCTCCTCCTTACATCAGAGTCTCCTCCTTACATCAGAGTCTCCTCCTTACATCAGAGTCTCCTCCTTACATCAGAGTCTCCCGAATTCCCCCCTTACATCAGAGTCCCACAGGAAAAATACTGCCCATATATAGAAGGCTCAGCTTGCTTCAACAGCACAGAGATTGCCCACACCACCAGTGTTGTCTCCATACAGCACCCACTGCACCCCCCTCCCTGAGCACTCACCTGTTTGTCCCCAGCTCTCCTAGGTGAGCACCATGCCGGGCAGCCCATGCACACTCTCCCCTACCTGTCCTTCCTTCCTGAAGGTGAGGGGTGGAGTCTGGCACCAGGAAGAGTACAAAGGTGGAAGAGCTGGTTAAAGTGTAACCTGCTCGCAGGGGGAAGAGGGGGAGAGGAGTCTGGCCGGGTGCCTGGCTTTTATCTCCTCTCATCTTCTGCAGAGGAGAGAGAACATATTCATGGCCTGAGTATACAGAATGTACAGTACAGTATACAGTATATATAGAGAGAGATGGAAGGACTTCACCAAGTGTCCACTAGAGGGCTCCGCTCAGAGCAGACAACAGCATCAGAGAACAAAATGTTACATTGTATCACACAGGAGGGAAGATTGGAAGGTCTCGTTCACACCTAGGCGCATTGCATATGCGCGTCTGTCGCGCGTTTTTTACCGCGATTCGCGCGTTTCCGAAGGCTACTTGGCTGTAGCCCAATGGAAACGCGCAACAAAACGGCCCAAAGTAGTACCTGTACCTTTCCAGGCGTGGGCCGTTTTGTAGCGCGTTAGGGACGGGCGGAAATACGCCAAGGTGGGAACGAGACCATTGTACAATGGGATTTATATTTTTGAGCGTTTTGTAGAGCGTTCGCCGAGCGTAGAACGCGCTACAAAACGTTCAGGTGTGAACGTTTTGTAGCGCGTTCAAAACGTTTTGAACGCACCTGAACGTTTTGTAGCGCGTTCTACGCTCGACGAACGCTCTACAAAACGCTCAAAAATATAAATCCCATTGTATTCAATGGTCTCGTTCCCACCTTGGCGTATTTCCG